CATAGAAATAACAAAATTATTTTAAGTTCGCCGGAAATTATATAGCTACATAATAGGTCAGGCCTAAGTGGTGGATCCCTATGCATACTGTAAAAATCCAATAACTCAGTTTATCAGTTAGACAAAATTAACCATATTAGCGATATTTGTCTGTCTATTTCTTTGGTGTTAATGAGAGTGTTAAAAAATTTGTATAAATTTAGACTAATTTTAGACTGGTTCACAAATGACTGTTGAAGTAGTTAAGTAGTTGTGGTCTTTAATTTTTATTATTTCAAAATCGACACAGGTTAACTTGGCGCGTTCTGTTATCATATTGCAATTATTATTATAATTATTATTATGTAGCTTCTACCGGAGCTTCTACCGTAGTCATTAGACTAGAATATATATACATTACTGAGTTGTGTCAATCTAAAAGATAATGTCAATGTCTCAATGTTATTTAACGTAATATTCTAGGCTATGATGGCTTAATATTACGGTGTTTAAAAATACGTGTATTAATACAAAACGTCAATAAATAGTCCATTAAAATTTTATAAGAAGAGTCCGCCGGTACCAATGAAGAAATGTGTACAGACTTAACTTCCACCTTTGTTTAGTGCGAGGCCCATCTACACCTCTACTACTCTTTGGGTCATACCACCCGGTGGTGAGCGCAACTCCACAACTCCACGTCGAATGAATGATGCATTCTTCTTGCATAAGTTTGAGTATCAACCACAGCCACTACGAGTCCAACCGTAACTGGTCAGCACAACTGAAGCTGCGAGCACTGACCCCCATAGTACCGGAGTTACACCTCCGGCCGTGTGTCGCAGGTTGGGACAACACCTATTACCATACACACTTCTCACATAAGTATCGGCGTGAAACCGGGATTTTAGTCGCCTTTTACGACAGGCATGCCTTACCTGAGAAATATTCGAACCATTTCACAGCAAGGGGAAATCTTCGAGACAGTGGTACTGGATGACTGCTTTTAGTACTGTATGTCATTTCTTCATATAATAAGAGCCCTCCACGTCATTTTTAGAACTAATTTTAGCGAGATATATCTAGTATGTTAAAGATCTGGAAATTAATTTCAAGTCGTTTAAAAACCAATTTCAAGAAAGTCCAATTTGTAAGAATTCGAGTGAAAGGTGCTTTGGCTTGCCTCAAAACTTTTTTTATTGTACTTTTTGTTAAAGAATTTTGATGGAAGCTCGTCATTGATACAATTTCCTGTTATATTGTTGTGTCTCGGTATAGAATTAACGTGTATGTTAAATTGCTGAACCATCTGATTTAGAAATCAGGTTTATTTTTAATTATAAATTATTACTTTACAACACTTACATTTTTAAATGTAGTATTTCATTAATGAATAAAAACTATTCATTCTCCCGCCACTGTTTTTGATAATAGAATTGGCACACCTTTACTTATAGTATACAAAATAAAATTTATAAAGAACATTGTACTGGTGAGGTAAAGTTCAATGAATTCTTTTGCACCTAAGCACGCATATAGGAAAGGATTAAAGTACACGAATACTGTGTGTGTGTATACTGTATACTCCTTCCTTCCCGGTATACTCATTTTTGGTTTGACTATAAACACGTGTGAAAACTTTGCCATTTATTAAATGGTAGAACCTCGGATCCATTTACTTTACATCAAAGTGCTTTACTGTAAAACACAACAGTAAGCAACGAGCAGCTTGTATTCAAAGTTAATGGTGAAACATATGTGTAGTGACGTATGAATCTGTATGTGTACAGCCAAATGTATCTTAGAAATACATGTATGCAGACATGCATTGCAGCGCAGATACACGTAAATATCCTTTGGTGCACGGTTTTGCGAAGTTATAATTTATTTTATACACAGGTACGTAGATTTTGTGCCACTTTATATTGTGATTAAACAAGGATTGCGCTGGGATTACGCTATTTCCATTTAAATGTAGCACAGGACAAAAGCAAAAATAACGCCAAAACAACAAAAACGAAAAATAAAATACAAATGTTGGAATAAAATTTATTCTAATATTTTTTTTTTTTATTTGTTCTCAGTTTTTCCATTTTTCATTTAAATTTTCGCAAACTAATTTTAAACTTTGTTGTACGAAAATTTTCATAAACAAAGCTAAGCTAAGCTAAGCCACGTTAAAGGATTGCATATGCATTAGGTGTGGTTTTTAGTGGGCGATATATGGGCTTTTGTGCCGATTTTTGTTCATAATTATTAGCAAAAATGTATATTTAGTTTATTTATTCTGTATTTTTTATTCAATTTATTATGCAGTTAAAACTTACTTCAGAGTATTTATTGTTTTGGAATATGAGGCGGCAGCATGAGTGAAGTTTTTCCTTCATACTCGCAGTGAAACAGAGTTTTGCATTGCTATAGAAATAATTTAATTAGACAATGCATATATAAATCAAATAAATCTGTATATATAATATTAATAAATATAAAATATGTAGTAGTAACAATTTAAAATAATACAAATTGATTTTAATGTAATTAAATTTTTTCTAGCGTTTTTGCATTTATATGCAATATTAAAAGCTATTTTGCTGCAATCGACAGAATTTAATTTAGAATCTTTTATTTTTTATTTCCGCAAATGTTTCGATTCGCTCAGCAAATGCAACATCGACAGCTGTTCAAATATTTGCAATAGAAATTCCATTTTATTTACAACAATTTTACAATATCTAAAGGATATTGATGCTATTACATTTGCAAATGCAATAATAATAAAACGAAATTGTTTAGAATTGCTGAGTATTTCACGTTTTTTATTCTGCTGCACTCCGTGTTGCATTTTAAATTATTTGGTGCACTGAAAGAGTTTCCTATCTCAATACGTGAATACTGATTTTATATCCTTTATATGTTTTTATAGTTTATTCCTATACATAAATATTAATAAGAGTGAAGTTAAAATTGTAGTATCGCAATAGTTTATTAATGTATAATTCCACTAGAGACACAAACTTAGGTGTATTTATGCGTACTTTGCCATGCTTGCTTTTCTTTAGAAAGCAGAAGAGGAATATCATATAATATAATATTTATTGATTTCATTTATAGAATGAAAAGAAGTAGAAATATATTTTATATATATATAACATAAGAATTATGGATGCACACAGATTAACAGTTCCAACGGACTACTCTTATAGCTATGATTTAGAGAAGAAAACAGAAAATATGTTATTACTTGTCTACCTTAGCTTTGCTGATACTCTCTCGTAGGCATTGAACCGGGTGAAGTTTCAACATTCTTGCGTGTATTAAAGGTACTCTCCTTATCAAAAAATGCAACAGTTTCCCGACCAAGAATAGTAGTTGCTTTATCGCTATTAAATGAACATGTTATCCTGTGACGCAAGCTGGCATGAATCACCTATGTGTTCAAATGCAAATGGGAGCTTAAAACTTACATTACAAAGCCTCAATTACTTTTTAAAATATTGTTGGCTTCCTAACACTAATAGGTATTATTGAAAAAAGTGGTAATCAAGTTGACTGTTGTATATATATGTAAAATAGGGGGAATGAGTCTGGCCGAAAAGGGGGTATTTTAGTCCTTATAGTACATATTAATGTTACAGAGTCAGGCACACCATTTCGACGACAGTCGATTTGATGGTGCATAAAGCATTCCACCATTCCACATTTACATATGAGTATTCTTTATTTAAAGTTTCCGGAATACTAAAATAATTGCACTTATGGTAAAACATTTCAGCCTGTCTAAAACTGGACTGATACAAAGAATGCACTATGACTCTTTACTGTCCATTTCACAAAAACGACAAGTATCAGTGTCTGATAGCTCCAACTTATTTAAGGAATGCCACAGATTGCATTAACCTGTATAGTACCCGAATAGAGTCATTAAGTCTACCCTGCTTAGCGAAGGTACCACACATGATATTCCTTTTGCTGGGATGAGAATTTGTTTTACAGACGTTGGCGTATATTAGGAAGCCAATGGTTTGTAAAAACAAGTAGCTTTTTGTTAGTCCACAGAAAGACTCAAGTCCAATTTAGCATATTTTCACTTCTCTTGACTGGGTATAATAAATATAAAATTACCATAGCCCAATATTTTCACTTGTGAGAAAATTAATTGCTTCACGAAGTACCGTACTATCTTATCTAAAAAGTTGCAGGAACAAAATAATATCCCCTCAGAACTAAAGAAATTGAATTCCTAACATTTACTTAGTAAACCCCTTTACACCATTCCGTATATTCCGTATAAGCAATTATTATATATTTTAGCTGTTATTATCTTGGCATTATTATTACAACTAAACCTATTTAAGGATTAAAATTGGATTATAATTGTTTCTATTTTTAATCGAATTTATGAAATGACAACAAAACTCGCTAGTTCGATGTATATTTGTTTAGTCAATTCACACATATTACATATGAGTAAATTCGTAATAATAACAAAGAACTAATGAGTGCTTCGAACTAATTTTACCAAAGTCCCTACTCCAGTCTTTATTAGTCTTATATTTATCTTTCGTTCTCTTTGTTGGCCATACGAAATCTTCTAATTCCCAGAAAGCAGCAATTAAAGTATATCAAATTATATTCCTTAATTGTTAGTGTCATCGTAACACGCGGTTTTCTTCCTTAGTAACAAGCTTAGAATCTTTAGTGAATTTCTATATATAATTGTAAGCATGTTTGCCAGTAATCATACGTCACTCGATAGTTGTAATTTAGTACATTTGCTTGATCGATATGCAAATTCCATAGCTGCCTTACGCGTACTTTCCATTCCTTTAGGTGGAAAACACAAGTCTGTTTTCTATGCCAGACAACAACAGAGACAGGCACATAAATTTAAGAATGGTCGATGCACTGCAATTGCCTTCGGTTAAAGACATTTCTAAAAGGAATAACTTTAAATAAAAAATATTTAAATTAAATATATACATCATTTAAATATTATTTTATATTTTTTCTGCTTGCAGTTTTACTTGTTAACGGCTGCCTACTACAAAATTTCCCGATTGCATTTAATATTAGAAAAATAAACATTTGACAATAAAAGAAAAACTGCATTCTCGCATTCTCCAAGTTTTCATCAAATAAAATGGGTCGGAAAATTACTGTCGCAGTCTCGACACTAAATCAATGGGCACTGGATTTCGAAGGCAACTTAGCCAGAATATTACAGTCTGTCTTGGAAGCCAAAGAATTGGGCGCTTCATATCGCACAGGACCTGAATTGGAAGTGAGGTACATAAATAATTTGAAATAAATTTAAATATTTTTTCATTAATTTTTCTCATTTAATTGCATTCTGATATTCTCTTTGCAGTGGCTACAGTTGTGAAGATCATTTTCGTGAACCGGACACTTATTTGCACTCATGGGAAGTTTTACTGGAAATCATGATGTCACCCATTTGGTAAATATAATAATAATAAATTTTATTTTATTTGTCATAAATTAATTTTTATCGTAAATTTTCCATTTTTCCCTTTGCCTCTTTCTCTTTTTGTCATATTCTTCTTTGGCATTAATGCAGTGAAAATATGCTGGTTGATGTCGGCATGCCAGTAATGCATCGGAATGTTGCCTACAACTGCCGGGTTGTGTTCTTTAATCGTGAAATACTACTGATTCGCCCCAAAATGGCAATGTGCGATGACGATAATTACAGAGAGTCGCGCTGGTTTACGGCTTGGACAAAAGTAAGTCTACATTTGGGAAAAATATAAAGAATTAAACTTATCTGTTTTTATTTTAATTGAAAATTTAATTGCGCTTGCAGTCACTGCAAACTGAAGAGTACTTCCTGCCACGAATGGTTGCGCATCACACTGGGCAAACCACAGTGCCAATTGGTGATGCAGTTATTGCTACAAAAGACACTTGCATTGGGTATGAGATATGCGAGGAGCTTTGGAATGTTCGAAGGTTCTTATTTTTCTATTTTATTTGTTGCATTCCATTAAGGGAAATAATTTCTTTTTTAAATATTTAAAACATGCTTTACATTTATCAGTAAACACATCGAAATGTCCTTATCTGGCGTGGAAGTGATTGTCAACAGTTCTGGCAGTTATATGGAATTGCGAAAGGCTTATATTACTACCGATTTGGTACGCAACGCTAGTTTTAAGGCGGGTGGTGCCTATTTATTCAGTAACTTACGTGGGTGTGATGGACAGCGCGTGTATTTCAATGGTTGTTCGGCAATTGCATTGAATGGAGAAATTGTAGCAAGAGGAAAACAGTTTTCCTTACAGGATGTGGTAAGTGGAAATGCTATGTTGATGCAATGAAATTAAATAAATAAATAAAAGTGAGGCCAAAAAGGTCTACTCAATAAACATTAAATATTAATATGAAAATCTGCTTCGAAGCAAAATGTGAAATAAAATATTTATTTAAAAATAGTAGAAGTTGAGTTGAGCACTAAAGCGATACTTGAAATTATAATGAATATTACTTCAGTATCAAATCAATACTTGAATACATTGTGAAATTGTTCTTAAAGGAGTTAAATTTTTTTCTTTTAAGGAAGTAACAATAGCCACAATAGATCTTGAAGATATACGTTCATATCGCGTCTCCCAACGTTCACGTTGTAACATAGCTGCCTCCGCGCCCACCTATCCGCGTATTGTGTGCGATTTTGAGATGTCCACACACAACGACATATTTAAATTTGCCAGTACTCCAATGCAGTGGATATATCATTCACCTGAAGAAGAAATTGCAATGGGTCCAGCTTGTTGGCTATGGGATTACCTTCGTCGCTCTGGTCAAGGTGGTTTCTTTCTGCCGCTAAGCGGTGGTGTTGATTCAAGTAGTTCTGCTACAATTGTACATGCAATGTGTCGACTTATTGTTAATGCTGTTCAAGCTGGAGATGCGCAGGTTCTTCACGATATACGTAAAATACTAGCTGACGCTGAATATACACCTGATAATCCCGCCGCTCTTTGCAATAGACTTCTAGTTACATGTTTTATGGGCAGTGTAAATTCTAGCAAAGAAACACGCCGACGCGCTTCACTATTAGCTAGCCAACTTGGCAGTTATCATATAGAAATTAGCATTGACACAGCAGTGAATGCATTGCTAGGCATTTTTAATGCCGTGACAGGCCTAACACCTCGCTTTCGTACTCAGGGTGGTTGTGCACGTCAGAACCTCGCATTACAAAACATACAATCACGCATTCGCATGGTGCTTGCCTATATATTTGCGCAACTCATGTTATGGGTACGAAATCGTCCCGGTGGTTTGCTTGTTTTAGGCTCGGCAAATGTAGATGAATCCTTACGTGGTTACTTAACAAAATACGATTGTTCCTCCGCTGATATAAATCCTATAGGCGGTATATCAAAAACTGATTTACGCCGCTTTCTCAACTATGCTAAAGATAAGTAAGTCAACTTTTTTCACAAAAAGCTTAAATTTTTTTTTTAATTTCATGTTTTGTATTTTAGATTTAATTTACCTGTATTGGAGTCCATTGTCGAAGCTCCGCCAACAGCAGAATTAGAACCTTTACAAGATGGTCAACTGATGCAAACCGATGAACAAGATA